ACAACTCAAAGCACCTCAAGTTTATCAAGGCAATGGCGTCGCCAACCCTCACGGAACAGTATAAGAAGGCCCGTCAATTGTGGGCATGTGAAAAGATCACCTGGGGTGACCGTGATACCGCTAATGTCGTCTTTAGAACCGAACCGAAATGAAATTTAATCTTGATGGCCCTGACGGCCTTAAGTATTACTGGCACGACCTACGCAAGGAAAAAACGATCCAAGCGGCAACCAGGTGGTGGCAGCGTCATGGTGTGGGGCGCATTTGGTGCCAAGGGAAAGACAACTCTGGCCATATTGGAGGGTACTCAAGATAGCGCTGCGTACGTGGAGACGTTGTCGGACCACCTGTTCCCCTACATCGACTACCATTTTGGCTGCGAGTGCATTTTCCAACAAGACAATGCCTCTATTCATGGATCCAAGGAGACCAAGGAATTTTTGGAGGCGCACAACGTACGCTTTATGGAGTGGCCAGCGAAGTCCCCGGACTTAAATCCCATTGAAATCTTGTGGGGTATCCTTGCACGTGCTGTCTACGCACAGGGACGTCAATTTGCGTCGAAAACGGACCTCATTGCTGCCATTTTGAAAGCGTGGGATGAGATTGGGCAAGACCTGATTGAAAAGCTGTTGCGGTCAATGCAGAAGCGTTGTATCAGTGTCTTGGAACTCAAGGGGGGTAAAACAAAGTATTGATAGCTATTTTGATGGTAATCGATATGCAATAATGCTTTTTTCATGTGGTGGTGTTATACTTATTTCCAGCCAAAAATATCTGATCTTATCATAGCGTGATTTTGGATGCTAGAATGGACATATTTGTTGTTCTTTCCAGGCTAAATTTCGTATTAAATCACTTGAACAATGTCGTGGAATCGTGTTATCGCATGGTGCTAATGTAACCGACAAATTTTGGGGTGGTCTTAAACTTATTGCCAGCACTGTAACAAGATACGGTGTGCGGCGATTGCACAATTTAGCATGGGTGAAGTGACCTCAAACATGCCAAAAAACTGAAATATAGCTTACTTTGGGTGTGATTATATCCCGCAATAAGCATCATAACACCGTCCATGACACTTCATTACATAGTGTCGATGTTGTTGTACTCGGTACCATATTCTTGCGTTGATCGGCGATCTTTGAGCCACGAAGCAGCACATTAAAGACAGCATTTTGGTGTAAACTTCAAATATAGCGTAAAGATAACAAACAATTATTGTCATCTCGAGGTCTCTGTGGTGTGGTCATGAAATTGAATGAGGGATAAAAAAATTACTCTAGCCCGCGTTGAACCCTGTACATTTGGAGTGCAACGCTTACGCGCTACCATGCGAAGACCATGGTAACGTTATACGGCATGTTGAGAGCTCGAACGATTGGCTGGTCTTTTTAGTGTTGTGCGCGTCACACATTTCCCACGACAGGCATGACACAAATGCAGGATAATCCTGGTGGGAACCGTCACCACCGTCATGACGGTACCAGGTTTGACCTGGACGAATGAAAAACAACTCACAGGTTAATACGGGTGATGAAACGAAGAACTCGCTGAAATTATCACATCGTAGCGATGCGCAGTGGATCGTTAATAGCATCGACGACGAATCAGCGCCCAAAGCTGTAAAATGCACACGAACATTTCCACTTTAAACCAAGACGGCTTTGGTGTAAACTTATGGGAAATCTATTCAGTATATCTATTTATATTCACGTATTGTTAATCTGTGAGAGGAATCGCCTGAAGCAAGTGGAACGCGCCTTCGTCGTGCAATCGCTTGCGTTTCAAGTGAGGTTCGTCGATGACAAAGAAGCGCCAGATCTTGAGGTCGAAAATGTAAAACGTATTCTTCACTTGAATGGACAACATGCCGTTGATCACAGCGGACGCTGGGTCGATGTAGTACACCTAAGTACCAACATTTCATTTCACCGAATACAAGAAATCGTCACTACACGTACTTTGTCTTCGGTCCAGTGTTTGGGTTCAAACACGTACTTGGCCGACGCCGACAAGAAGTACGATGTCTGGCCTTGCGCTCCCAAGTGAGGATGACGTAACCGTTCGTACACATAGCAAATGGCGATGGACCCGACGCACACCCCAATGAGGGTCACAAACCGCCCAAAACTACCAATGGCAATCGTGCCTACCACAAGTGCAATGTCAAAGGGCAAATTCAACCCATGGTCGTTTCATTGATCCAAGCGTCAAAGTCATATATATCGTACGGTTTAAAGTAATATATATCATTATTCGAGGCCCCACGTCGATGGTAACCAGAGAGTACTCACCGCTAGTGCACACCAATTGAAAGTCCACTTGCGGCATTTCACACTGTCTTGTCATGGTGGCGGTATGGGTAGCAGGAATGATCCACGACAGGAGAGCAGAGGCACCCCACACCATGAAATTGCACTTGAACACGTACGCAGTCGTGTACTGCTGCGTCATGACAATCAGCATGTCGCTAAGGACAAAGCCAAGCCAGGACACTTCCCCCGCGGCGAGGAACGTTTTGAAGAAGCGCATGGCTTGGTCGGTGGCCGTTTCGTCTACGATCACCCTGGGATCACGAAACCCCCACTGGTCCCCCACGGGCGTGAGCGTGAGAACTTGGGTGCTCAGCAGAGAAATCGCCGCCAGTCCTCTTACAAACAGCAGCGTGCGGCCCACCCACACGACGCCGGCCACCCGATTGAGCTCGAGCATGTTGAGGCCCTCCATATACCCCCGATTGGCCAGAAGGTACAACGTGGACAAGAACGCCACGCAAATGATGGCGCTGGTCACGTACAGACACGCGTAACGAATGTACAACGCCACGTTCACGGGCAGTTCAAGGGGATTCACCAAACTACCGACGTCGGCCGAGTGGTACGTCAGTAGGTTGATCGTTCCGCGGTCGCCTTGCAGCGAAATCACTTCGCGTTGGGCTAGACACCACTCAACCACCAAGTACCACGAGAGAAGGTGGAACCCTGGCAGCGACTCGTCAAACAGGATGTGTCGAAGGAACGTCACATTCGACGAGGTAGACCCGACCGTCCCATATTGAAACACTTCTGCAGCCACGTTGCGAACGTCAGCTTGCGCGGTGGCGGCTAGCGCAGCCATGGTCGAGAACCACGCCTCATTGTCGCCAAAGTAGGATGAATTCTTGAGAAAGCTTAAAGGGCGATCGAGCATCAGTGATTGACACGCGCGCAAAGACATCCCCATCACGTTTGAGCACAGCGCCATTCCTTCATGTGTGTTGTTCACGGACGGGACGACCATATTCAACGCGATAACTGCTGCGAGGCGACTGAATGTCGTGGGGGAGATGAACTCGCCGACCTCAGCACTGCAAGCCGCACCACTGAGAATCCAAAGCCCATCCTCGAGGACCCATTTCGTGCTATCCGGACACATGATGTTGCCTCCGACGCCATACACTTGGCCGCTTTCGAGCCACGGCGCAGGAATGTACGCGAACTGGCCTTGGTCGTCCAACGCAGAGTAATGCACCGACAAAGACAGGGATTTCGTCCGCAACAGCGTCAATGTGTCCGTGACGTGCAGCACAAACCGCACTACGGACGGGGGGACTGCCACGTGCTTGACGTCTACAGACCCGAACGGCCCGATGGTGTCGCGGAAGGTGGCAAATGCACCCGACTCGACCTGTGCGACCGTGCCGTTTTGAAGCAACACCGACTCCATCGAGACGTTCGCAAAGGCAAATTGCCCTGTTTGTCGCACCAAACTCTTGCCAAAGATGAACGTGGACGGGTCTGTCACAGCCCATAAGTCACTCGCAAACGCCCAGTACATTTTCATGCTGGATTGGGCGCCCAATTGAAGAGACCCGTTCGTGTGCTTGAGGGTCATGGGGTACGAAAACCCAAACGCGTTTTGGACGTTGTACGTGTCGATGATCCCAATCGACTTGTAGTCTTGCCAGTCCGTGTCAAAGGTTGAAATGTTGTGCGAGTGCCATACCGCCACTTCGTCTAATTCAGAAGTCACCGTCGATTCTAGCGACGCCCACCAAGTCGACCCATCCGAAGTCGATCGCAGAGGGGCCGCAATCGCAATCTCCAAGGACCTTCCCCAACACGACTGGAGCGTCGCCCACTGCACATTGCGAAGCACCGCCTCCAAGTACACAGCCCCATTCGTTGCATACTTCGAGGCACACCGCGCTTGGCGGGCCACAGAGTTGGCCATTTCCCACCGTTGTTGGAAATCGAGCCAGCAGTACTGCGTAGCAATCCACGGCGCCAGGCACGCATCCATGTGTCGAAGGCCCCGGACCACCACCGCCAACTTGGTCGCGTCTGCAAGTTTTATTTGCGACACGTACAATGGCGGCATGAATACCCCCACGGCAGTGTCCAACACGGAGCTGTAGTTGGTATCGTCGACGAAGATGTGGTCGTCGAGGGCAATTGAATTGGCCTCGGGGCGCAGCACCATCTCGCGGTTGTACATTCGAGCAATGAACACGTGCTCCCGGGACGCGTTGTAGTTAGCCCACCAAAAGTCGTTCGCCATGCTGGTCTTGGTGAGGGACAAGTACGTGACGCTACCAAAGACAGTGGCACACATGTAGCCAAGGCCTATGAGGGTGGCCACACGCTTGGGGCGTTGGGGGCGATGGTCTTTTGGAGAGGGGGGGGATGTTGAGGGGGAAGTCACGAGTCCAGATCTCAAGTATGGGGCAAGAAACACTGGCATGTTCCACTTGAACACTCGGGGTTTTGCACTTGCAGAAGGTTCACCCGTCGGTATTTGTTGTTGGGTGGTCAGCAGCCACAGTTTCAAGTCGAAAATGTACTGTCGAAACGTGAGCAGTCCACACATGACACACGACGCCCGATCGATCAGCAACGCTCCATTGAGCACAATGTCCTTGCGCAAGAAGGCGGTGGCCGTGCCAGACAAGAGCAAGTGGCCGCAGAATGTCGGCGCGGGGGGGTGTCTGTTCACACACTGCCACACCCACACCGCTCCAAACGACATGACAATGCTGACCAATTGAATTAATAACAACGTCATGGCTCTTTGGGCGTCGCCTAGCTGCACCGCCCCACTGTGGCAGACGACCGTCGACCGGAAATAGTTTATATCGCAGTTGCGGTCGAGGGTAGCGTAGAGTGCTGGGGGTGCACTCATGTCCCAACAGACGTACACGAGCCAGCTAAGCCCGGCGCTGAGGGGGGCAAAGTTGGATTGTGCGTTCCGTGTCAGAGGCAGCAGAAAGTCATTGAATATATAAGTAATCCACATGGCTTCCCCCGACACGAGCATCGACTCCAGCAGCGTTCGGGGGTGAAACTCGAACGACGTGATGCGTTTTTGCGACATGAATCGGATGGGGGCAGTGCTGAGCAGTACGATGGCAGTCATCCCGCGGATCATGAGGAATGGCCGGCCGATCCATACCGCCCCGACAATGCGATTGAACTGAAACAAGTTGCGACCGACGATGCGGCCACGCAGCAGCGCTGTATATGTGGTTATGACGAAGCCCACAATCACGAGGATGACACTCACGATGGCCGAGACGACCCACACATACTGACACGCAGTCTTTGGAACCTCCAAGTACTGCGCTTCGTTGATTAGGGGGGGCGACTTGTCCGACACGAGGGCGAATATCCCATTGTCGCCTTCAAACGACACCACTTCCCGAGACGCTTCGGCCCACTCGAACATGTATACCCACCCGAAAAAGTCCCACTTGTCGTCGTCACTGAGCACCAACTGCTCTAGCCAGACATCAGTTGGCGATGATCCATCCTCATGGTCGGTCGCCGTGGAAGTGTACTTTGCGTATTGGATGGTCTTGACCTGCAATGCAGTCACGTCTGACTGGGCGCGTCGAGCCAGAGTTGTTAAGGCCACGGTGGTCGTTGTCGGGAGTTGCTTCGACGCATTCACCACAGCTCCAAGTACTTGTGCGCATGACGACGCCAACGTGGGGCACACTGCACCACACCACTCCGCGATGATGGCACTGTCGGGTATACTCTTGAGAGCTCCAATGGGTAGTTTGGAAGAGATGAGATATGCAAACAGTGCATTTCTCGGGTGCAATAGCATCTTGTGACGCTCTTGGTTGGTGCACGACACGTCGAACGAAAACGACGACTGCACGTACGGCTTGGGCTCTCTGGTCGGACAAGTAATGTCGCCCCCCATGTACGTAAAGGTTCCGTTCTCTGTCGACTGCCATTTCATTGGCACCGGGTCGACTGTCAGCGACGGAATGGTAGTCATGGCGGCGTTGAAGGCGTCTTGAGTTTGCATCCACGTCGTGATGGCCAACGTAAACGAACTCGACAAGACCAAGAGCGACGGCGGCGCGGGCACAAAGAGTGCATCGATCGACCCAAATGGTCCAACGTGGTTATGTGTGAGCCCAAACCCTGGGGTCCCCCCTACGTCCAGTACCGTCTCACAGTTGTACGAACAGGACATGTACTCGTCAGGGTTGAACACTGGGTCACACGGGTCGCACGTGTAGTTGCCAGGGTCGAGCAAGAAGTCGTCATAACTACAAGGTTCCATGAAGCGGGCGTGCCGTGGATCGCTCCGAATGAACGGAAGGCCAAACATGTAGTCGTTCCACGGCCCCCACGACAGCACCATCGTGGTCCAAGAGCCTTTACGCTCTGTCGCCACTTGCTTGATTGACAGAGACTGTGTCGCTCCAAACGCGTTGATCACGTCCACCGATTCCTTGACCCCCCATGTAACGTGGTTGGCCCATTGCCACTGGTACGTAGTCAACCCCGCCGCCTTCCACACGGCCACTTCGGTGTCGACGCTGACAAATGCATCGGCCGTTTGCTTCAACCAGTGCTTGCCCTCCTCAGTGGAGTTCAACATACGCCCCATGGCGAACTTAAACTTGGACGCGTACTTGGTCATGTACTTGTTCCAGTTGATGAGTCGAAAGATCGTTTCCCAATACATGGCCGCGTTGGCTGTGTACCGACGACCACATCGAGTCTGCCGCTTGGCCGTGTGCGCGACCTCCCACGTTCGATTGAAGTCGACCCAGCAATACTGCGTCCATGCCGATTCAGGTCGAGGGTATTCCTGCAACGCGATAATCGTGGCCGTGAGATTCGTCGCTTGGTCGGCTCGCACGATACGTTCGTACAGCGGTGAGATGCGGATGGGGGTGTAGAATGCCGAGTAGTCCTTGGAGAACCCCCCGGCAGTCACGTCCAGGTGTTTGGCCGTGTGGTTCACGTTGAGGTTCAGGTTGGAATTGAACACATCAATCAAGTACGAGTGCGCGCCGGATGCATTAAAGTCAGCCCACCACAGGTCGTTGGTCATGACCGGCGCGAGCATCTTGAGGTAGTACATACTCAGCACCAAAGTGATCAACAGGTACGCCACCCCACCCGCCGTTTCCACCGACTCTGCCATCGTCATGGACGACAAGTCGTCAAATCGATCGGCGTCACTTTGGCTCGCAGTGGTGTTCTTCGTGACGGGAAACGTCAGCTTCGAGCCACGACCTGTGAACGAAAGGCGTCGTTGTACAACTTCGACCTCGTCTTGCGATTGTTCGAACGGATGGACGCGACTACTCTTGCGAATGCCGTCGTCCTTGCCATTGCGGATCGTATCGACCGTATCGAAGCTGGCGAAGTCTTCCACGCGTGTCGCGGTCACGTCCACCGAGGCCCGTGCATCAGGCTCACATTGCGCCATGCCTTTTGGGCCGACGACTGTTCACTGTAAACTACTGTTGGTGTACAAAACCGCCGCTGGAGTTTCAGAACAGTTACGCCTTTGTCTTCGTGTATGGAGGTCGTCAGTTACAAAGCTAAAGGTGCACATGAAACTCCAGCCTGGAATGCGAGTGCGGAGGTAGGTAGGTAGGTAGGTACCTGTTGGGTGAATTGGTGGTTTAGAGTACTTTGTCGACGCAAATCCCGAATGTACGATCTCGTCAAGTTCAAAACAGAATCCGAAGGCACCAAAATAAATAAAACGGCACCAATTTGATGTATTTGGTATGAAGGCGGTAATGCAAAATTCGCCTGGTTTGTGTAGTCCATATTGAATCACGCCGGAGTTCTGATTGGTTGAATATACTTGTCCTTTCGTGCCAATCAAATCCACTAAAAAATGGATTAGCCAATAGCGTCGATTCGTGATTTGATTCGGCAGCGAGATATTCGATTCGAGCATTATACAAGTTAATACTATACAACTAATTCGAGTGCCAGTGTTTTGTTTACTGTTAATAACGAGACAGGAATGGTTCCATTTTGGACCAGCACCTCCTCCAATGTGACGTTCATATAAGGGCAAAGTAGGCGCTCCGTCAAACGAGACTCTTGTGGTAACATGAGATTTGTAGCACTGCGGGAGGAAGCGTGTGTACAGATAACGTCGTTGGGACTGGCGCACAGTGGGACCAGGAATATTTTTATAAATGTGAGAATGAACAAATGCAATCAATAGACGCTAATTTTAGCCAATACCTGACCTTCGACCTCATTCACCGTGATTGGGTACATTGAATTTGTTAAATTGAATTTGATTGGCTTATTCGAATTTTGAGTCTCACGTGTCATATCCGAGTTTGCGATGCCGTCGA